CAACCGTTATCGGACACCTTATACAGTATATGAAGTGTTTCTCAACATTTGAGACGCACTTCAGCGATGGGCGGGGGACAGAAGAGCAATGAATAAAATTCATATAAATATGTGCCCTATTTGGCCTTGTTCGTAAGTTGTAGCTATTTTTGGACTCCAATAATTTTAAATGATAAATTAAATTATGCTGTACCTATAACTGATTCTGCTAAACGTCCGTATACAACGCTCGATAACTCCTTCGTATCTTTCAACCTCGACTATTCTGTTCTATAATTCAGTTTAGGTCATTCTCTTAGTAAGAGCATTTAATAATTTATTAATTTATCGTGCGTTATGAGTGACAATGAATAAGTATTGAAGCTAGGAAATGGCATACATTTGATATATGAACTCGACGAATGTAATTCAGCTGAAGCAAGACGTGTATAGGAGGATCGTTTCCCCAGTAAACATCTGCTACATAGATAAAAGAACATTTCAAAGACTACATAAAGTTGCACAGAACTGGAATATAAAAATGGCTATAACTCAGAAACGTGGTCATATAGAGCACATGGTTATATGATCGTTTTCCATTGTTTTTGTGTGCCCTGTCTACTGCGGAAGTGTGTCTCACATGTTAAAACAACACCCTGCATATATAATTAATTGCTCGCATAAAAATATTATATTATAATGTAAATAATATCGAATATTTATTTAGAATAAATCTTTTTTCGCGACAAATTCAATTTTGTGATTTGTAATCGTTTGCAAGGTAATTCAAAAATTAGTTACAAATTATCGAAGGTGCTAATTTATAGTAATTTATTTTGTATCCTGTTCAAAACGATTAAAAGAGTACAAAAAACATAATTTAAAGAAATAATAGCAATTTTTTAGTATCACGTATACGAAGCAAGAAATATATGTACAGAAAGCTTAAATAGTTCAAGTAATACAATACATCAAAGTTTTCCTTTTTACTTGTATGTTTATTGCTAAAACTATCTCGTTTCACTTCTTTCAATGCAATCGTGCATACAGTGGGATAACATTACATATAAATAACGAAATTATATTACTAATGTTGATCATTGCATTTCACATTTTTCAATTTATTTGTATTATTAATACAGTTCGCAATTATTATATTACAAATCAAAATGGCCATGCATAACAATGTCTTCGTTAAAATTAACCATCTAATCATTTCTCTAATTATAATCATTTAGATTAACAAACCGTATAATTAATATCTCTACTAAATCTTTGTACAGTATTTAGACTTCTTAAAGTTGCAATTATTTGAACAATCAACTAGATCGTCCGCGTAAATGAAATATATTAATTTTGTTAATTATTTTGCAATCATATTTTCTAATTATTTTGAACAGTATATTTTTCCGAATAACACGAGGAAAACTGAAATTTAAAAAAGCTTTGTGATATTAGAGAGTTATTTACGATAAAAAAAAAAAAGAACAGGTATGTCTGGCTAATTTAATTTTAGTGATTTAAACGGCAACGCGCAGAACATAATTTCTGCTTTGACAAAGCTTCCAGATCCGCACGATATGCCGTGCGATAAACGCGGCGATGTGTTCCGGAAACGGAAGTTCATGGTGAACGAAATGGAGAAGTTCGGGCCATTTTCCGGAAGTTCCTCGTAGTGTGGTATCTTTAAGTTATGAACATATAGTTCATTGCGATTGTGAATACACTATCGAGCGCGCTTGGAGCTCTAACTCCTGTTTTTCATACCTGTTATTTTCTTCCCTTTTTGTTCTTGTTTCTTTTACTTCTAACAAGAGTCCCGCTGTGCTCTGTCTAGCCGCGGGAGAAGTGTACGTTCTCGAGGAATTTTTGCGTGCATTCAGGATATTCGTGCTGGTACTTTTTAATTTCTTTGCGCATTTTTATGTACTTCAAACTGCTGACATTTCTTTTACTCTTTACTTTTCATTTCTCTTTCTCTTTTCAATTCTTTCGTTTCACTTATCATCTATTACACGCATTACTCGTGTTGTAACTGCATACGATACACGGTACCGTATAATTTCACATTGGCTTCCTTTACTTTCGAAATTCTGTGCCCGCGAAACGAAATTCTCCAAAGTATCTATGTATATTCATTTCTTTCTCTCTGTCAGCCCCTCTCTTTCTCTGTCTACCCCCTGCCATCTCCCATCCTATCGTTCTAGTTTTTCATTTCTTGAGACCGTTTAACTTATTTTACTACGTTTGATTTCGCTTCATACTCTGTTGTTCATTGCAATGTTGTTCGTACCAGAGTTTACGCCTCGTAATGTATTTATAGATCGCTTCGTTGTTTGTTTCTCGATCATCAGCCACGAATTCACCAATCGCGAGAAGTACATGTAAATAATTAAAGAATGGACAAGGTAAACAAATTTGGAGTTTTCTAATTAACGAATCTTCGATTTATCGGTCGTTTGTTGAATTTAAAAGAAACTTTGAAAGTATCACAGTTACGAAGAAAGGTTCGTGGTTGTTGACAACGTACACGATCGATTTTCACGTAAATTCACCCCTAGCGGAACCTCCTTAAACACTTAGAGAGGATTTGCGATCGACGAACGGTTTATCCTCAAACGTGATTCGATCGATGGCTATGCTTCGCAGTCTCGAGCCACGCGCGCATTTCTTTTGCAGCATCTCAAACTTAGTAATTTAAACATTATCGATGATAATTTTGTGTCGCGCTTATTTTAATATGTTCGCGTTAAAAATAGAGCAAGTAATGTTTGTCCAAGATAATGAAAAGAAAACTGAGGATGCGCGCGTGCTTCGCAGCGAAACATCGTGACAAAATTCTCGACTCTAATCTCCGTACCGTCAGGACCTGCATTGTGAATAGAGTGAACTGAAAGCGTGTATAGAGAGAAAGGAGAGATCGATTCTAATGGTGTGCGACATATCGTGCTGTTATGGTATCCCGAGGAACGAAAACCTGATGCTACTTGATGAGAAAACACGATTGGTACTGCGTTTACGGAGCGTTAGATTTGTGTAAATTCTGAGCTTGCGCCGATGATGCATGTTGTGCTTAAGCGACTACCGAGGTGATGGTATCAAGTGTCATCCCCTCGATGCTATGACGATGATACGAAAGGTTTGTCTTTTTTCCATAGAGAACTAGTGGCCACGCGATAACACGGTACTTTTTTGATCACTTTTTGTCGAGACATTCCTTTTGATTTCCTTTCTTACGTTTTATTTTTCTCTTTTGACGTATATCGACTTCTTTGTCAAACAATCTCTGTCTTGTTTCAAAAATCACGTCAAAATAGCTAAGAGCACACTAGATTGCTTTATATACACTGGCCAACTTTCTGCGCTACTTATGTCTTCGTCTTCTCCTTTTGTCTCTATCTATTTTGTTCTCTCCCTTTTTCTCTCTTTGCCCGATTATTCGATTTCGAAAATTTGGTTCCTTTTCTCTTTTCTTCTTTTTTCTTGTCAGCCAATAAAACCAGATCTCTATTGCCGAATATGTATCCCCATTTTTGTGTACTTTTTTCGCATTCATTTGGTTTGTTTGTTTTTCTTTCTCTTTACGAAAAAAAAAAAAATCGAACTAACCGAGAGACGGACGAACTTGTTTCACTTTGTAACTAGCATTTAAGCTTGCGACATGTTTCTCCCTCCATTCTTTGTAAGTGGCGAAAATTGTTCTGTCACTATTTTTGCACACGCGACTTGAATTTATCCAAGATTAATCACGCCGATTGTCCCGTTGTTTCGTAAGCACGTTTTTTTATCTTGCAGCATCGATATACACGCAATATTTGTATTCGTCGTATAACAAAGTTCTATTCACACCGTGCCCGCCCAATGTCGACAAACCGTGCCAGCTTCGCAGCTTTTGCATCCCATACTGTGCAGCTTCTCTCTCTCTCTCTCTCTCTCTCTCTCTCTCTCTCTCTCTCTCTCTCTCACTCCCCTCTCTGCTTCCCTCCCAACACCCTATTTTCACATCCATTCTCTCTTTGTTGCTCGAAGGCTCCTTTCAATAGGCAACAAACCGTTTCATCCAGGTTTGCGTTCGGCGTTATAGCTTTGTAACGGACCATTCGACTCTCAGTTGAGGCAGGACCAACGGTTCTCTCTTTAATTGGCCTCACGATGGCCTTCCATTATGTATGTAATGGCTGGTCTTTCTGACACGTTTCTTCAAATTGTAGAAACATGGATAGCGAATGCAAAACTGAAACGGATAAATGTACAGAAAATATCGAGCGAAACAGCCGAAACGAAAAATCTAGAGAAAACAGTGTGAGAAAAACGAAAAGAAATCGAACATTTTACAGTTATCCAACAACGAACGTCGTCATTTGGGAACGTCGCCGCAAGCTGCGTCATCGGCACAACTTTTACACACTACTCCCACTACTATTTACTACTAACTACTAACTACTATGATTATTATTGTTACTATTATTATTATTATTACTACTACTTCTACTACTACTACTACTACTACTGCTACTGCTACTGCTACTACACTACTACTACTACTACTACTACTACTACTACTACTACTACTACTACTACTACTACTACTACTACTACTACTACTGCTACTGCTACTACTACTACTACTACTACTACTACTACTACTACTACTACTACTACTACTACTACTACTACTACTACTACTACTACTACTACTACTACTACTACTACTACTTCTACTTATTCTACTACTACAACTACTACTACTACTACTACTGCTACTACTACTACTATTACTACGACTGTTACTACCACTACTACTATTAGTATTAGTATTACGTATTACGTATTACTACTACAACCTACTTTTTTTATCGTATTGTATACCCTCCCACTCGACATGGACTACCTAATTCTGTTTCTCTAAAAAAAGATCCCCCTTTTTTACTTCATCTTCCCCTGAAAATCCAGTTATACAGACGCAACTCGTACAATCTCCTCCTCGAAATTAGTTGAAACCGATCCTGTCTTTGTTGCAGATGGACATGAAGTCTGTCGGATCGTTCTACTACGAGAACTTTGTAAGTGCAGAATCTAACCACTGAATCATACAAAACAAAAAAAAAATATATATATATATAAATTCACGCAATATTTTCCTCTGTTCTGACGCCGCTTCTCGTGTGTATGTACACATTATCGCGTGCCAAATTAATCAAATAGAATCAAAAACTGCAAAAAACGTGTGCGCCACAACCACACACTGTCGTTCGTGAAATACAATTTCTTCGAATCTATTTGGTGATAAAGCGCCGTGTTTAACGTTAATCAATAAAGGCATGTAGCCTGAACTTTTTTTATCGAAGAAGAACGTACAAACGTATTTATACCGCATACATTTCACTGTTTCATGTCCAAGTTCATGTCCAAGTCGAGCCACATTTATCTAGCTCAAATCACACGTTTGTACTGAAAAAAATCATTTGAACGTCAAGCCGCTTGTTTCGTATGTAAAACGAATCTCGGGATACTACGAGTAAGGCCTTCCGCTCCGTGGCATCAGAAGAATGTTATCGAAATGCATGAAACTACGCGTTTTTTGTTATAAGAAAAGAATACATATCAATATGAGATAAAAAGAGATTCCTTCGGAAAGACAGAGTCGAGGCTTCTTCCGAGTTTTTGCACCGTCAAGAAGCCTCCACTCAGGATCCACATCCCAATGAATAAAAAATCCGTTGTCCTTACTAATTGTAAACGTTTTCGACATTTCTGTTTTGCAGGCCTTCCCAGGAATGGTTCCGTATAAACGTCCGGCGGGCGACAAGTCCGGCATGCCGGTCTATCAGCCTACCGGCGCGACGACCTATCAACAGTTAATGCAGCTGCAGCAGCCCTTCGTGCCTGTGTCATGTGAGTACACTGGAACACCACCCCTACCCACCCAAACCTCTAACCAATCGGTCGTGCAACCCCCGAACGTGCAAAGCAACCACCACGCGGTGGTGGTTCAGTCCTCCTCCTCCTCCCAGGGAACCGGCGGCGCCACAGTCAATAACTGCGCCGACGCCAACAATGGCGTGCTGATGGATCCCTGCAACAACCCACCGCCACCACCTCCAACCGCCGACAATAACAGTAACAATAGTAACGGCAATAACAAGCAGCCGAATGCCACGCAGAATCACGATGCCGAAAACACGCATAACTCCCCCGAATTGAATCACGCAAGTCCTACGACAATTTCGCAGCAACAGCAGCAGCAGCATCATCAACAGACCCAGCATCAACAGCAACAGGCGCAACACCAGCAGCAGCAGCAACAGCAGCAGCATCAACACCAGTTACAACAACAACAAGCACATCAACAGCATCAACAGCAACAAATACAAAACCAGTTGGCGTTATCCGCTGCTTCCGTGCAGCCCGCGATGAGCCCGTTGACTTCTGTTGCCGGTCTGACTTCGATGCCAGGCGTGGTTAACATGGTCTCAATGGCTTCCATGACGAACGTGCCGTCGATCACGAACATGGCATCGATGTCGAACTACAACGCCTCGAACATGGCCAGTCTGAACATGCTGAACAGCCTTGGTATGGCTTCCGGGCTACCTACGCCCCTCGACCCAGCTGCCCTCGCGAAAGAGGTCGCCCAGAAGAACTACGCGAAAGCCATCAAACTCTCGCAGGTCTCCCAGTCGTACGGTATTAATCAACTCACTGCTCTTAACTACACCGGCGTAGCCTTGAATAAGCAGGCCCTGGTGAACCCGGCTGCCGCCGCTGCGGCAGCTGGAGCTCCGACAGTTGCTGGCTTGCCAGCGACAGCTGCGACACCTAGGCCACTGATTCCGAACCTAGCTGGGATTCCTGGCGCCCTGGCCTCGCCTCTTCCCGCTGGAATTCTTGCCTATTCCAGGCCTCCGGCCGGTACTCACATCAATCCTTACTCGTTGATGAGACAACAAATCCTACCAAATCCGTATGTTCAGGCCTCGATACCGACCGTTCCTGGCGCCGCGGCCGCGGTCCAAGGTAGTCACTATGTCCAGAATCCTTACACAGTGTTGCCCGGTGTCGCCAGCGTGCCTGGAGTCGCAGCTGGTGTCGCAGGCCCCGGTGTACCGGGTGTCCCGCAGATACCGCAGATTCCGAATCCGGCGACGATCGCGGCACAACCGCAGGTAGCCATTCCGGTCAGCTCCGGCGTGATAATGCAGCCATACAAAAAGATGAAGACTTCGTAAACAATTTTGTCGGTCAATTGACCTGAGGGGAGACGTACCTTCGTCCCCTACTGCTCTGAGCATTCTGGTTCCTTCTTCTGGGCCCTCTGGTTTCTCTCTTTCGACCATGCGAACGCTGCACGCCGTTTCTTCACGTCTTGCTTCGACAACGCTCGTTCCTCGGTAAGGTGGAATACATTCAATATTTTAACGCGTTTCCTTTTTCTTTCTTCAATTGGTTGACGTAGTTTGTAGAATGAACGTAGGATATGGAATTGCATATTAAAATGTTAGATTAACGTTGCCGAGCCATTTTTTGATTTAGCACAAAGATAAAAGGAATTTTAACGCGTTTACATGTACAGGGTGTTCGCGCCATTACTTCCCACAGTGTTTTTTTCGTAAGTGGTAGATTTGTGCAGTATGATGATATGAACAGATTTTTTTAATTGAGCATTGGTCTTTCGCGTTATAAGGATACCACGAATTTTTTTTAATTAATGTCTATAATTTGTTTTATATTATAGGAAAACAGCTGTCGAGACGAGTTCAACAACCTACAACACGATAGTGTTATCATTGAAATACGAAAATGAAGGAAATATTTTAGAAATTTTTTAACGCTACATTTACTACCAATTTTATTACTTTTTGTAAAAAGCACAAAAAAGTGTAGTTCAAAGGGCGGAAATATGTATTCTACTAAAATGGGAATCATACTGAATATGTTATGTAACCTTATTCAGTAAGGCTACGGTAAATTTAGTATTATAATGTCTCCAAAATATTTCCTTAATTTTTATATTTCACTGACCTTGATCACTATTATGTGTTAGATCGTTGAACTCATCTCGATAACTGCATTCATATAACATAAAAAAAATTAGAGTTATGAATTTACAGAAAATTTATAGTATCGCCATTACATGAAGACCATTGTTTTATAAAATCTATTCAAGACATTGTGTAACGAATAGCGAAACTCTGCCTTCTTCTATTTCTCTGACATATCTATCACTTAGGAAGAAAACGCTAGGGACTGAAAGCGTGATCACCTTGTATAGATAAATAGATAGATAGATAGATAGATAGATAGATTCATATATAATTAGAGTATAAGGAATTGAATGCGTGAGAAACGGCTGTAGCGCGCGTTTTTGTCCACGAAAAAGAGAACATCCAGCGAGCGGATGCGAGATGAGAAATGAAACGTCGAAATAACAGATAAAAACACGATGCAAACAGACAAACAAACAAGAGTTCCGAAAATAGATTCATTTTCTAGTCAGACATTGTCGGTGAACAGTGCCTTATTGACCCGATTCCACTTGGAGCGTTTCAAACGTAATGCTACGAAGAATAGAAAATAATAACGACACGAAGACTTTTGCGAATGAACCCTTCGATTCTTTCCCTTTCATTGTGATTGCGATCAAATAGACTTGAATCGTCAACATACGGCGTCCGATTTTATTGTTTCACGTTTTATTTTCTCCCTTCTTGTCTGTTTTTATTCTACAAAAGAGCGACTCTATACGAAGAATTGCCAATAATTCATTCATTTCGCGTTACTGCACGAGCCATCCAAGTAATCTTTAGTTGTGACTATCGCGTTCATTTATTCTCTGTCACTTGTATTATTTTATTATTACTATTATTATTTGTTTTTTCTTTTCTAAGACGCTCTAGCGTACCTTTTCAACGATAATTTTAGCGTGTAACGTTTTCTTCAGTTGTAGCATATAGGGAAAATAATTTCTCGCTATAGTATAAGTAGTAGGAATGATTTTTAAAATTTGGTGAAATTTCTATTGCGACACGTCGCCACGCGACCATTTGTTCCGTTTTGTTTCGAATATTATTTCTCTTGTTACGCTCTATCGAAAGTCGTTCCTTCGTCGGAATTATTATTGTAATCTTTATTAATGTTTATTCTATATTGCATATATGTATATATATGTATATCTATTCTATATATTTTTTATTTTCTACGCCAAGATGGACGGAAACGATACTCGGCCTAAGTCACGTTACGTGCGTACACAACTTGCCTTTTTAAGTCGTAGAATATTATTACCGTTGTCTCTTAGTCAGCCGTTGAAGTCCATTCTCAGTCGATTGCTCGTTATTATACCTTCTACTGCTATGTATAAGTCGAAATCGATCGATTTCATTCGCTAATTGTTCGTTTATCGTTTCTCAGATTTTTATTATTTTTATCGTTTACATATAGATTACTCTTAAAGAGTAGTGGAGAGGAAGAGGCACGGAGAGGAATAATGCGGCGAATAAAAAAGACAAACGAACGATTTGATCTTTAAAATATATGAAACATTATACTTCGGTTAATTATCCTGTTTTTTCATGTATTTTTTTTTTGCCTTGTTTGTCGCACATCATGTTTGGAACATTCGATCTCTAAACATTGAGGCTGGTTTTATCGAAATTACCATTGAAATTTCTACCGATCCGACCTCCGCCCTTTCCAACTTAGCTTTAGGGATTAATTAAGGACTATTATAGAAACGTATGTTTCCTAGAAACACCTTGCACATCGATGAGATTGAAGTGGAAACGCCGTTGTGTTCGGGCGATCCTTTTGATTCATATGGTTAACGTATATGTATAGATTTTAGCAAAGAGACTTCGTCCTATTCTCATTTTATCTATGTAATAGCGTGCGAAACACGAAGGCAACATTCTTGTCCTTCACAGATTCAATTCGGGGGAGTTTATTGCACACAGTGAACCTCGTCAATTGCAACTCACGAGCTTATGCATTTAGCTGAGAAGAGAAACGGAAACGAAACAAGCCGCCGATTGTAAGGAGTATAAAAAACAGTGCATAAACACAAAACGGCGTGGTATGATAGAGTTAAAAAAGTAAAAAACGAAAAATAACAAAAGAATATGCATTTTCGTGATTAGCGAACACGAGTAGCAAAAAAAAAATAAATTAAAATACAAAGAGAAGGCTGAATTCGAGAGGTGAGGAGATACAAACAGGAAGCCGAAAGACTTTAATGTTGTGTTAACGAAAAGGAAGCGAAAAAAAAACTCTAAATCGGGAAAGCGTCTCCTCCTGAAAAGAAATGAAAAAAAAAAAAAAAACAATAAAAAGAAGCAAAAATCTATTGAAACGAGTTCACATGCGCATTAATGATACACGACCGCACAAAAACGTTCAACAAAAACACGCGACACTCGTCGAGAGGACAAAGAGATATATATCTATACACGCGTACGCGCCAAGTAATTAGTATATATATATATTTGTGCATTTCCTTTCGAATAGTAATTAATTCGAGTGCACGCGAGGGAAACATGTCCGGAACGAAGATTATGTTACGCGAAGAGAAAGGAAACTCGTTCGCCGGATTGAACGATTTAAGTAGAAAAGAAGAAAAAGAAAATTTTCTCTGTTCTGCGTATCCATGCATGTGTCTGCCAGTGATTTGAAAGTTCGTTTAGTTGAGATTAATGATTACGATGATAATGATGACGATGGTGATGGTAATTAAAATAATAACTAACGAGGAAGCAAAAAAAATTATATATATAATATATATATATATATATATAAATATACGTATATTATATTTAAATATGTTGTAGATCTATTATACGTGTAAATAATAATTTTCTTTACGCATAAAAGAAAGAAAGAGTATCAGTGAGTATGTATATAAATATATATATATATATTACTATATACTCATCTTTTGTGGAAATCAATTTCTATAATTGTTGTGTTGTGCCACAACACCGCCTACTCTTGCATGGGCCCTCTTCCTCTGTGTCTGTTTTGGAGAGTTCTCTCAGGTTCGTGCCGTCGGAGAGGTATCCTATCTCTCGGAAAATCTTTAGTGTCTCCTCTGACACTTCTGCTCCTTGGCGCATGCAGAGTGCACTAAGCCGCTTTAAGATTGCCTGGCCAACACCCTGCATGTCTGTCATTACGAATTGCCTTTCTTTGCCAAGAAGGCCGTGCATGGTCGCTGCGTGCAGTACCATGTTATATAAATTGGGGAAGTTTCGATGGTTCAGGGTTTCTGCTTCAGGAAGAGGGATCAGTTTTAAGTAGTCAATTGACTCCTGGTGGGTCGCCTTCTGCGTCGCCAGAACAGGTGAACCTTAGCTTCACATGCCACAGATGGGTGCTCCAAGGCTCTGTTCTGGGAAGAGATGAAACTCTCCACCTTACAAATAGCTTTCATTCCGTAGCCTCGCCAAACTGTCTTTATCTAAAAGAAGATGGCCTTCCCTAGTTTGTCGTTTACCTGAAATGTCTGGCCCATGTTCAGTATCCAGCGTCGCAACTCTCGGTGCGCTTTGATCCAGTTCTGGAAGGCGTTAACACATCCCTAGATGAGATTCTTATCTATCTTACCCTCGTTGATTCTATTCAGTTGTACATACAACTTCCCACCTCTTCTCTATGTGTGCTACGTTCTTTTTCTCCCCGGCATGGGTTGCATGCTTTACCACAGACATGAGCCCGGCCATCTCTAGAATAGTGCACTGCTGCACAAAGTGTGGCCACATTTTATGAACAGAGGTAGATGCTAGGACATCTGAGCACCGGATGTCCACCTCACAGAACCTCCGAGAGATCCCTCCGAAAAGCCAAGCCATGCATGATGCCGCAAACCTACTTGCCTCGAATTCATCCCCACTCCTCAGACACACCATGTATTCACTGGCACATACTGTAGGGAGGAGAAAGAGAAACAAGTAAATTGAATATGAAAGGAGCCGTTGGAGTACGTGGTACTATGCGACAGCGATTATTTAATTGGAAATATATATTTTTACAATGGGAAATTAATTTCCTTAAAACCGTACTCAACTACTAGTTACAAAAAACTATTTAAAGAAAATTCAATTATACTTAGTTTAAATTAAAAATTATATAAGAAATAAGAAGAACTAACTATCGATCTATGATCGAACCTCTCAAAGAGGATACTCGCTAACGCGTGTTCGCGTTTCCCTCTCGGTTCCTTTCGTTTTTGGACGCG